TTATTCTACTTCTTCTAAAGGTTTTTAATTCAACTAAAGGTAAACTGGGAGGGAAATAAGCAGGCTGAATGTTTAAAAACATACGCCATTTATAGCATCAACAAATAATATCCTCCCTCGCCAGTAGTATGCCAAATGAAAACAATAGTAGAAGTAACAAGAAAAGTGAACTTTTCATGCATCTAATTCTTTTGACTGGTTTGATCAAAGCAGGAACATATATATATTTATATATATGGGGGCGTCAAAGGTAGTATCAAAAAATCTAGACAGATCTTCACTACTCTCGAATCAATGTGAATATCTACCGCATTCACCAAAAGGAACAAGATTCAGATTTCCAGCACTAGTAGGAAGTCAGTGATTCTGTATGTTTCAGTGATGTAGCAGGGGTAATCTCCGAAAGGTTTTCCAGCTGGCTGTGATTCTTTATCAACAGCTAATTTCGCTGGTTCCATCCTGAAGGTCAGATGGCCAGTCAGAAAGGATTGTCAGCAAGGAACTGTGGAAGGCAAAAAACCAACCAGGAACCGATAGCCCAACACACATGTCGAAGAGAATGGAGATGGTTTGGGCATACACTGAAGAGATTATTGAGTGAGATCACACGCAAGCTAGGTCATTGAATAGGACCCAGAAGGGATACGATGAGTTGGATATTGGTCTGAGAGTGACAAGGAGGAAATCATGTGAGGAGGAGATGAGAGCTTATGGGCAATTATGGAGTCTGATGAAGAGGCCTGAAGACATCAGGATGGGAATGAATACAAGAAAGTTAATAATTAAACAACCAGTCTTTATTTATACATAATATAATGGAAATTTTGAAATACAAAAGAAGAGAGAAAGAATAGAAAGCAAATTTACTACATAAACAAAACATTTGCTAAATTTGGAGCTTAATAATGATTTCAAGATCGATGACAAACAGACTTAAGTTAGAGAACCATTGAAAACGACGGAGTACTGGACAGATATTTCTTCCTCGTCTGTAACTCTTCAGTAGTGAACACGCATCACTCTACTGGAGATAAAACTCAGGACCTTGGTGAACCTCACTGGTCATGACTTCCCACTAGATCCTTGTTGGGATGAACACTCCTGGAAAGACCTGAAATGGATGAAACAGATATCCAGTACTTTCTGTTGGTTATCATAGATTCTCCAACTAATGTCAGTTTGTGATCAAACTTGAAACCAATCAGATCTCTGCAGACCAACACTTGAAAAGTTTACTTGTGAGTTCATTTCAGTGGACGTTGATGATTGTGATACAGCAAATAAACCTGGAATTGCCCTAGCAACTAAACCTACTTTCTTGTTTCTCATTGAGTCACAATCCTCAACTAGTTTTGATTCCCTATGGCTTAGCTAAAATCTTTATAAGTCTTTCAGTTTATTCTATAGTTTGTTGAATTTAATAATTTTATTTTTACTATCCGTATCTCTTCAAGGCCTACTTTTCATCTTAAATGTCGAACTTTTCATTATTCTGTGTATAAATAAAGACTGGTTTTTCGTTTGATAACTATTTGTTATTCGTACCTATTACTTCAAAACTGTTTTTAGAGTTATTAAGTGCCTTTTCAGTTGGATTAATCTCTAAGTGTGTTAAGTATTCATGTTCATTTATGCCGGTTTGTATGATTTTCAGACTGTTATCAGGTAAAGAAGAAGGAGCGAAGCTGTAACAAATAAAGTATGAGCTTATTTTATCCCGTAAATATATAAACTCCCTTATTCTTTTCTATTGAAAACTATTCTAGGGATTTTTATTTAAGTCTAAGACAACATTTTAGGCGACATTTACACAACAACATACAGCTAACTGGTGATACTCAGATGTTGGAATGAATTCTTAGCTGTTTCATCATCAAAATGTAGTTTTGTTGATGGTAAGTAGTTAGCAGTGAAATCTAAGATGGCATTCCTACTAAGAGACATGAACCCAGCCGTCAACGCTACAAACACCGAGCATTTTGATCCACTTCAGATCAAGTTAACTGGGACTGAAATTAACAAATACCAAATGCTTCATCATATGATCACATTGTGGTGTGTGCCACTGACAAGAATGTGTAAGTAGAACAGCGCATCAACGGATTAAGTCATAAAGAGCGAAAATGAAGATAACTGCGAAACAGCATAGGAAGCGTGAAATGTATACAAAAGATGCGGAATACCAATACATTCTGAAAATTAGATTTTCAATGTAAGGTCTTTATACTTCACAATCCCTATAAATCACTACAAGCTTAAAGATAGGGAGTAAAGTGGTAGAGCGTGTTTCTCATTTCACTTAACTGGTAGGGTGGCTGATTGCTGACGAAATCTCAGCATACATACGAAAGGCTTGTGTAGCGTTTGCTAACCTCAGTCATCTCCGGTGCATACATGATATTCGGCTGTTGACGAAAGAACACGTGCACTGTGCAGCAGTGAGTGAATCGATCAGGTTGTGAAGCTACATAGATTGAGATGGCTAGGCGACATCCTGCGTGTGAAAAGCTATAGCCTTCTTCTGTAGGTAATATTAGCCGACATAAGATAATGTGGAAAAAGACTTAGGGTGGTCATATCACTCTGAGCTACGTAGGGAGGTATACACTGGTTAGTTGAAGTCCCCACGATTTTAATAACTGACAGCTTGAGACTGTTGCTGACATGATTGAAAATCGTTTTCAGTGGTGCAGATGCATTCACTGTCTGTGGTCTACCATATCCAATAAAACGTAATGTTTCTCCATGTTAATCTTTCTTCACCAGCACATTTCTGCCTATAATGGCTCTATTGAAGCTCTTATGTCTAACTTTGAAAACATGAAATGATGCTTTTCTACACAAGGTTCAACAGTGCTGCTCAGTTAGTCAGTCATACAACTCTGTCCAGCGGTCACAAGAGCAGTCTGTCTAGGTAGGAATCAGTCCCACAAAGACTAAGCTGGGATTCTGTTTTATTCTTTCTATACTCTTGTAGCTTGCAAAGTTGTAACTTTGATGTTTTATGCAGAGATAAGTATCTATTTTCTTCAAAATTGTGGATTAAATAACAAAGCGATTAAAGTATTCCATAAAATACTTTACTTTTGCTGAGAGTTTCTTAGTGACACAGTACTATTTTTTCCCCAAAAATGAAATATTCAACCATAGGGAAACTTTTCATTTTGAAATAATAGAGAGGAGTTGTAGTTCAGATGAATGTATTTGATTTGATTGTGCTTGTTGAGCTGAGTGATTTGATTGAGAAGAATTCATTACTTTTCCAGACAATATTTTTACAGCTTACTTCAGTGTCTAGTAAGATCCTGCATGAATCCTCCATGAATGGTATAACCTCCTCTCCTGATGACTTTAGTTTCCCTTATTCCTAGGAATAACTTGTCTCACTATCGTCCATTTGATTGATCTTTATCTCGTGTTAAACTGTTCTTTATTAGTCGGTTTATTTGAGCTATTTCAGTGTCTCTACTGTGCGAAGAATGCTTCAAGTACCAGGCTTATGACGTGTTTCTGCGGTATGTTTGATAATTCCGCTGTTAAACATTTACACATTTTACTGGTCAAACTGGTGTCCATAGCTGTCTGCAAGTACTGATGCGATGGAATACCTATTGTATCTTTTGACGGATAATTCATGTTCTTCGACTGGAAGTCAAAAGTGGTGTTCACTGTGGCCAACACAGTGATTCTCACAGTTGATGAAATTTATACTGTAGGTGGTGTTAGTTTAATCTTCTTTGCTGTAAGGTCTTTTCGTCTGCATAGTATTGAGTAAATTGACTGTGTTGGTTTGTGTGCGATATCTATTCTGAATAGTTTCTTTATCCTAGCTGTTATTTCAGAAATATTCTTCAAATATGGCAGGTTGAATTTTTTTGTTGATTCCAAGGATGGCTTTTGCTGGTAATTTTTATGTTTAGTTTGTGAATTCTCAAGCTGATTATGAGAAGTTAAAGGACAGACCTTTTACAATCTTCATCTTCTATCGATCTTATTGTAAATTTTCACTCTCGATGGTTTGATTTGTTCAGTTTCCAAAAGTTTGATAAGCAGCGTTTAACTGGCCTTAGTCTCCAGTGGCTGATATATAAACTATTATTAGTGAATGTTTTTTATCTCATTGGTATGACTCTAGAATAAGTTTCTTTTCAACCAGAAGCTCGCTTCTTTTGGACAGAAGTTCCACCAGTTAAGTCTCCTTGTCGAGAAGGATTCTGGGTTCATATTCCTTATACTACTGTGTTTTAATTCTTCTCACTGCTTTAGCAGAAACTGTTATGTTAGGTTGACCACAAAGTAATTTTCTGAACTGGATCATGTGGGTACGAATTTGCGGTAGGTTTCAACTTAGGCAAGAGGTACGCTTACAAATACCCAACAAATACTAGGAAATTTTATCACATGGAACCAAAATAATTTTTTATTTGGTGGGTGGTAACTAGCAGTGGAATCAAGGATGGTAAGTTTCGTCCCATCTGAGACCCATCAATGGATGTACCTGCATTTTCAGTGGGTGATGTTATTTTCACTGAGACTAGAACTCAGCACTCATTGTTTCAAGCGCCAAAGAATTATCTGACTGTCCGAAAGAAGTGACCCTAGTGAATGTAACTTTGGCGTTGGATACAACGAGTGCTGGTTTCAAGTCTCAGTGGCAAGAACATCACTGACTGAAAATGCAGGTGCATTCAGTGACGAGTTTCAGACAGGACGAAATGCGCATCCGTGATTCCATTGCCAGTCACCACCCACCAAATAACAACCTAGTGGTCCTGAGACATCGTTGAAGCATCCCTACTAGAAGCCGACATATCAACAGAGACCGAACATTTCGATCCAATCATCAGTCAACAGAAAATGCAGACATTGAGCAGCCGTCTTCATATTTTGATTAACGTGACTGTAAACAGTAGTGAGCATAAAATCAAAACGTTGACTGCCCAAATATTACATAATCTATTAGTCATAACCCAAAGGATAAAATGCAGTTATTGGCTCACCTGTTTTCTGTCATGTTCGATGTCATGTTTTCCATTGGGGATATTTTTCAATGAGTTGTTACACTCTGTTTGATTCTGTACATGCGAGGTGTTTAACTCATGTTCCGTATGAGCAAATTGACTGTCTTCTGCTCCCTTGACTTCATTTATATCACCATTTGTTAGTGGTATATCTGACCTACAATTTAAATTACAATTACTACCACTGGCATAAATAGATGGAATGATACGATTATTCTGACAGTTATTTTGTGCTGCAGTGGTTGTCAAACACGATGTTGTTGTTTTCACGTCAGATTTTGTTAAAAAACTTTTAACATGCAATGAATCAACTGAACTGTGAAAATCGTCATCACCGCTATCAATAGCTGAATCATCCGTTGATGTGATTGTAAATTTCCCTGTCAGTAGTTCTGTATCACTGAAAACACCAAATCTTAAATTTTTACGTGCATTTCGTAGTTTTCGAAAAGCATCATGATAGTTTGTTTGAGTTTCAAGATCATAACTCTTAGGTATATGGAAGTGATTTGATGCCTCTGGATTGGAACCAAGCACAGCAGATCGAAGTGGATAGTGATAGCGTAGTTTTTGGTCTCTATTAAAAAAAATAGTCAAAAATAAAAGCAAGACGGATAAGTGTAATGGATAAAAATGAAATTTTTCACCAACTTGTAGAACCAAAAATAAGACAGGGATCACTCAACTATCCCTTTAAACATTTTTGATGCTCTCGAGATATTTACAGTGTTTATTTCCTGACAGAGTCAAAAAACTCCAAGCGAAATTTAGACATCACTGGGTAGAAGACATTTGGTGTCAGTGAACAGGCTTCAAACTTTCATCAACAGTTAGTTGCCTTCTCTCCTTACTAAAGATCTGATGACCTCAAAAAATTACCAGTGAGGAACTCTGCAGCAGGGTAGTGGACCAATCAAGAACCTATTGGCCAAAAAATATGCCGAAGAAAGTGGAGATGGATTGGATACGCGTTAAGTAGACCGTTAAGTGACATCACGCGGCAGGAAGGCTCTTAGGTTGACGCCGAATGTAAGACGACGAAGTGGGCTTTTGGATCGAGATTGACATGGAGAAGATCATGTGAGAAGGAGATGAGAGCTGATGGGCAATTATGGAGCTAGATAAACAGGACTGCAGGGGAGAGGACAAAATAAAGATATCCTGCTGAAGCCATATGTTCCACTCAAAACGCAAGGGAATAATAATAATTATATGATATCAAGGAATGAACAATTCCCATGTGATGGAGTCAAGAACTCAAAAGTTAACAAACACACCTCTGCTTGTAAATCCATTTCAAAGCTGTACAGCTATTTAGGCGTTTATATATATACAACGTTAATTGACAACTAAGGTCATAGGTGGAGAATACGTTGGCTTTTTGAGTGATTGGATTTGGTCCTGTGAATAACTTTGAAAGATAAATCACGTGTGGCGGGCTGAATGACCTGACCCCAAAAGGTTTTCACAAATTGAAGAATTTATCGTTCTATGCTCAACTTTCATCAACCGAACCGAGTAGTGTTCAGCTACGCGTTTACGGAGAACACGCTTACAACGTCCAATGTAATCAGTTTCACACAAATTGTAGTATGTGGAGCTGATTACATTGGACATTGTAAGGGTGTTCTCCGTAAACGCGTAGCCGAACACTACCCGGTTTTGGTTAATGAAAGTTGAGCATAGAATGACGAATTCTTCAATTTGTGAACACCTTCTGAGGTCAGGTCATTCAGCCCACCACACGTGATTTATCCTTCAAAGTTATTTACAGGACCAAATCCAATCACTCAAATAGCCTACGTTTCCTGCACTTATGCATAGCTGAAGCTCTAGCTATACATGGGCACAAACCTAAGTTATGTGTTCAAAAACGTTTTGTTAAACTCCTTTTATTAACTAAGGTTATAGGCTGTCATCTAACATTGTATAAATGAACGCCTAAATAACTGTACAACTTTGAAGCGAAGCCATGAGAAGAGACCTCTGTGCTGACTTATGTGTTCTTAATGTTTTTTATTTCAGATACGCGTGGGTATTTTCTTTCACAGCGGTAGGTCATTAAATCACATTCTTAATAATCAAAAAAATAAATAAATAATCTTATGATTACAAATTTTCTGTATTCATATGTATACATAAGAAATTCATCTTATTGCCATTTTACCCTAACTTGGTACTAGCAGTCAAGTTAATCCCATATGTATGTAAGGACTAAGTGCTTAAAAGTGACCATTCTGAAGCACTGTTTATGTATAATTACATGTAATTATCCTCATTATTTATTATTATTACTGTTTAATTAATTAATTTTGTTGAATAAATCATGTTTTCATTAATAATTTACTGATATGAAGTTCATTCATTCTATGTACATTAGTTAATTCCTGTGAAACAAGTAATTGACTACTGTCAACTGCCTATGCACTTTGTAAGACGTTGTTATGAAATGCAGCATTTTAGGGTTGTGTGGATGGTATTCAAATGAGTTATTCGTCTTTACTATTTGTTTACTTTCCTCCAATACTAATCATCTAATTGCCTAATAACCTATAGAAACGCGGAAGATTTATTCATTTTTTTGTATACAAATTAGATTGTATACCTAAACGCATTTAATTGCGAGAATGAAATTACAAGTCTATATCATTATTATTGTTGTTTCCTTTAATTCCTAGAGGAACAGAGGGCTTCAGCCGTGCATCTCCATTGAGTTCGGTTCTCTGCTACAGTCTTCACCTGGCTCCAAGTCTGCCCACACGTTTTCATCTCTTCTTCACATGACCTCTTCCAAGTCACCCCACCTTAGCACTGACGACCAACTCGCCACTTCCCTTTCGGGTTCCACTCGAGCGATGGCTTGTCTAGTGATGTCACTTGATGGATTGTTTCCTTAGAGTATGGCCAGCCAATTCATCTCCATTTCTTCCTGCCTATTTGTTTCACAATCGGTTCCTGCTGTGTTGGTTCGCTCATTGCCAGAGATCCCTCTCTGTTGCTGATCTTTTCTGGCCGGCTGGCCATCTGATCTTGAGTAGTATTGAGCGAAGACAACTGTTAATGAAGGTGTGTAGTTTGTTTGAGATGCTCTTTATGACGTGCAGTGCAAGTCTCTGATCCGTTTGCTAAGTAGCACTGACTTCACATTGGAGTTGAAAATCCGGATCTTATTTTTGATGCTGAGTGCTGTTGACCTCCAATTAGCATCAAAAATATATATAGTCTATACAGTATAGTGAAAATAACACAGAATCGAGCAGACGGTTTTCAAGCTATTTATTATTTAATGAGATTGTCATTGAGATCCTAAACATTTGAACGACAATTAGTAAATCGTTTAACATTATGATTCACTAGAAACGTATATTGAATGGGCAAATAACTAATTTTTATAGTTGAACGCCTATCTCCAGGAAATTCATTCATTGCTCTGCTGTAGGATAAGGAATACGTGTAGTTCTCATTGCGTTGTCTAAGAACTCTCCTTCCTAAAACCCATATTGACAGAATAAGGTTACGCGAACCAATTTATTGACGATAAAGATAAACAGTCCAAAATGGTGACTGATTCAGTTCCAAAGTAAACCATCTTCATGAATTTGGAATTCAGAGGCGATCAGCTTTCAGATATAAGCAGAAATCATCTCTCTAAATCAGTCAGTAAGACGTTCCTTACTGTAAAACTCTGACTGACCTTCATCAGCTATAAGCTGTTCTCTGTCTCTTTTGAAGACAAGCTCTGTTGTCTGGCCATATCCATGTGCACTATCACTTCACCTGGTCTCATGGAGTGATGTACATCGGCTGTAGTTAGAGAATGCTTTCATCACTGATACGACAACATATTCCAGCATGGTTTTACAAGGGAGAAAGTATGAGCGTGTGAAGCTCTATTCTAGAACACTTGATAGACTGCTGTCACTCTATCAACCGTGACCATATTTTTCAGATCATTTATCGAATTCATGCTAACTTGCTGCGTTTCCTACATTCTAAGCTTCTAAAGACAGTTGAGGTCTTTTTCATTCATGAATTTAATCTAGAGATTTGTGCACAGACGAAGTTTATACAGTCCATATTTTTTTTACCTTGGCCATAGCGGGATAGAAATTTGTTTATTGTTTTGTTTATTTAATCTATGCACTTTCCCTTATCTGCTACGGTTATTATTTTTGTCTTCGCTTTGAACAGTGCACGGTATTATTTCCCTCATCCCATTTATTAATTTGTAATTTTAAGTTTTATCTTACAAGCTTCTCTCCACTTTGCGTAATTTTGTATTTACCTACACACACTGATCCTACCAACCGTATTAATTTTACATGTCTTCCCATGATCTATATACATTCTGTGAATCATTTTATATTATTATTTTATGCCTTTACGTTCCCAGTGGGACATAGGGCTTCAAGCTAGAGTTTTGAAGTTTCGGTAGCAGTGGTATTTACTTTTAAGGGATGTGTTTGCCAGTCTCATACCCAGCTTTCCCTATTTACCAGTCTTATTACTGGCTTAGCGAGGTGAAGGAGTAAGTCCGCCGGGGATTGAACCTTGGATCACCTGCGTGGTTGGCGGGCATTCTGCCGCTGCGCCACCGACGCACGCCATTTTATATTCGATATTACTTGTTGTAGATTATTAGCTTTTGTAGGGATTTGGATTAATTTCAATGTGGATTTCATCACAAGCAAACATCAGCCAGACATCATTGAATTCCAAGAAGCACTAGATACCTGTTTCTTCCTAATTTAGGCCTCTTCACCCACGACTCCACCAGGGATTGAACCTAGCGGCTGCTTTTCAGTGATCTCTAGCTGACGTTTGTTTCTGGTGAAATATATCTTGGGATTATTTATCTTATCTCTTGATATTGAACAATGATTGTAATTACATACATTTTCTCACATTTCATATTATTATTTTAAGTAAACATATCTTTGTTTAAATTTCCTTACGTAATACAATTTCTTGAAAACCATATATATATATATGATATACAGCCTGATAATGAATTAGTTGAAAAGAGTCTCTTCGCTAAATATTGTGTTCCTAATGTTATAATGAGAATTATTGAATTATTGATTGTGAATTAACATCAATTAGGGAGTCACTGAGGACCATGGAGTATTGGAGAGCTGTTTCATCCTTGTTTGGGACTCGTCAATCGTATGTGCCCACGACGTCAATAGGGATCAAACTTAGAACCTTCAGTTTACAGAGCGAGCTCGAAGACCATTCACTAGAGACTGACTACAGGATGAAATTGCTTAAAGTTCTAGTCGGAAGTTGTGACCAATGGGGTCTACGACGTTGGGTGTGAGAACAAATATTCACAGATGACAGTGTTTGGCAGTGCAGCTGAAAATCGCGAATCGGCAGAAGTTAGAACTCCACCCCAGTGACTGAATGGTCTACGAGCTTTCTGTGCAATCTGAAGTTCTTGAATTCGATCCCTGATGAATTCATGGGTCTGTAATATTGAAGAGTCCTAGGCAGGGACGAAACACCTATCATGTACTCCTTGATTTTCAATGGTTCTCTAAATGAAGTCATTCTTGAGAATATTTGTTTATTTTTTTCATCTTTCTAAACTAGTTAATTTGTTTGATAGTATACACAATGATTCAAGCAGTGTGAAAATTAAACAAATCATCAAAGTATCCCGTTAACGAAATACTCACTAGTTTCTGAAATAGGAATATTTAACCAGCTTACTCTTGATATTGAATTGATTGAAGATGCCTGCTGAAAACTTAAAAGACTGACTATTAAACAAAAGACATTCTTTTCGATAAATTCGTCATAAGGTTCTACATTTATATAGCCATAATAATTCACTTGTGAAGAAGAATTCCAAAGTAAAATTGCGTTTTTAGACGTCCTACTAACAATAAAGTCAGACGGTGGCATAAAAAGGAACTTTTATGACAAAATTACTTGAACCGGTCAATTTACACATTTTCACAGATTTGTTCTTCCTTTCCAGTATAAAAGAAATTTGGTAAAAACCCTCAGTTATAAGGTCAGAGCAGTTTGTTCAGAAGATGAGATTAAAGACGGATCTAAAGTTGTATATGACACGATAATTGAAAACAACCACCCTGAAAATTCATTACTAAACACATGGTCAAGACAGTAGAAACGAATTCTTCTGTATCTGTCAACAAGCAGCCTCTGTATTTGATTGCACACTAGTCAGTAACTAGTGTAATGTGTCTAGTCCTATCTTCGGTGCAGACTGAATTCTATCAGTCATGCTTGCAATGTGGCCACCATGCTAGGTGGCTCGCCATTACGGTGCACTATGAATTGTTGGTATTAGGTGGTTGGAGGCAATCGGCAGGAAGCCTTGGACCTAGGTTTCGTGCTAGTTGGCACTCATCAGCAAGGCGTATCTGCAACCTTGAAGGAACTGATGTCCCTTCTGAGATTCGAACCCGCGTCACCCAGTGCTGCAGTCAGAGACGTTACCACTGAGCTATTCAGGCTCGCGAAATAATAACCAAGTCAAGAAAATCGATCTCAAAGAACGTTCAGTGCCTCTAAGTTGCAGCTTATATTTTCCGCACAGCTGGTTGTGACTACTCACAAGAAAGATGAAGTACCTAAGCTGGCCATCACTGATTGTATCTAACAGATCAAATGCTCCTGTGAAGACAGTTATATTGGCTGTTGCTCTAGGAACTTATTTTTGACACTCTGGATCACCTGACTGAATGGTTAAATGAAAGTGTCGTTAAAACCATCAACACTTCTATATATAAGATCACCTCGTCCAAACAGCTCACAAAGATAGCACTGAAGAGTCTCTCTATCATCTGTCGGATATTGGGCATTCCAAACAGCAAATGAATGTCATTTCAATTCGCTTAAATCAACTGGAGCACCACATATGAAAGAAATACTTCCTCCCTAGTCTGTTGTGGAACCTATAAATTCATATATCCTGTTTTACTTTCCTTTGATTTATCTGATACTCATTTTAGTGTTATACTAATGCATATTACCTCTCTCTCTCTCTTACTGATGCTTTTGAAATTTAGTCTGTCGACACTACTTATTATGTTAAATTTAAACCATTAATGTTATTAATAACAATATTCCTTAAGTATTATGGTCATTTAAATGTGGAAACTGATGGCGAATTTATCGAAAAATATTCATTGTCTATTTATGAGTTTGATTGCATGGAGGATTTCATCATGAGCTGACATCAGTTAGAGAACCACTGGAAAACCCTACAAGGAGTACTGGACAGCTGTTTCGTCCTACTTTGGGACTCTTCAGCAGTACGCACCCACCGGGATTCGAACCCAGGGCCTTCTGGTTACAAGGCGAGCTCGTACATCATTGAGCCACTGGGACCCGATCCAATGGCCAGTTCATGAATTCTAACTTCTGCCAATTCACGACATAGCGTGACCATTTCGCAATGTCTTCTTCGATGAGTTACTGCCTTATCTTCAACCTGCTGTACCCTACTGTTCACGGCTGTGCACTCTTTTAACAAATGTTACATGCGTAAATGGATTTGAATTTTCAAACATTGGTTTTGCAGCGGTTTTGTTTGATTGGTTGGAGGATTTCTTCATGAGCTGACATCATTCAAAGAACCACTGGAGAAACAATTGTTTTTTCGTCCTGGTTTTGGACTCTCCAGTAGTACGCACCCACCGGGGTTTGAACCTGGTGAATTTCCCTCTGGCTGATTTGTAGTGGACCGTCTGTTGACATTTTGCCTCTAAATGCAGACGCTTCAAAGATATTTGATGGCTTACATGACATCTTTGGTTTGATAGTGGCTAGTAATGGAATTCAGGACGCGTGTTTCGTTCTATTCTGCACTTTTCAGCCGGATAAACCGGCATCCATCCAGCATTCAGAGTTTTAAACATCAATGAGCATCCTGACATTAACCGAGTGACATCTTTTAGTAAATTTAAAAAAAACAAAAAAACAAGACACTTAAAACTCACCGACATAATATTTGTCTTGAATTTGGAAGAAATTCTATACTATGATTTGGTGAGATATACACATTCGGTGATGCAGTAGAGTCAACTTTTTCAGGATCATGTGGTGAATTATTATTGTTATTATTATTATTGTGATTCTGACTTTCATGTTTATTAATATGATTATCATTATGATTAGAATGAACACTTTGTGAAAGTAATTCATGAAAACTCGGTGGTCCAGAATCTACTTCTACAATTGTCTTCAAATGATGAAATCCGTTTGAGTGTAGATTACGAAATGAATGTACACGTTCAAGTGAATTCATACGATAATTTTCACCTGATGCTAATGATAATGGTGACGATGAAATAGTCGTCGTTGATGCTTTTTTCCAGCTTTCAATTGGTTTATTAAACAACAATGGTAAACTTCTTGCTCCAAGTATCATATGACTATGTGTACCGATAGTTTCACGTTGTAGTCCACCACTATACGGTAGATTTTGTAATTGTATCCAACCTTTTGGTAGTGGTTTATCAAGCCATACTGTTGTATTCTGTTGTGTATTATTAGGAATTAGATCATTGGTTAAATGTCCTCCACATGGAAGATTTAGATGCTGCGATGACTTGAGAATATCAAATTCTGTTTCAGACTTTAATAAATTCTCTGACAGTAGCATCATTTGTTCAGTGACACGTTTAATTGGATAAGAGGTGATAGGGAATAAGGCTGGTAAATGGATAAGTTGTGTCAGCGAATTTGTCCGTAAACAAGATTCATTCTCAGTATTTGTTTGTTGAGAATTTGTTACTAGTACGGGTAAAGATTTGGATCGTGTCCATTCGCCTGTAATTGAATTTTTCTCTTGTATATTATGTGATCGTGTATTCTATAATAAGGGAAAAAATCAATTGAAAACAAGGCAGAATTTATAAGGTGATCATCAGGTGATCATGGGGATAAAAAAAATCATTAGTGGTTTGGGAAAAAGTGATGCAAGCGAAATTCACTACAAGTACAACTACCACCTATTTGACCAATTATTAAAAATTTATGTTATTATATTTTTGTCAAATATTATAATAAACAAAACTGAACAGTGGGAAATTTTCTGTTGATGTGAAAATTAGTCATATGATCACTACTTATTAATCGATGAATAATTTGATTTATATTTGTATAAACGTTTTAGTGAATAATGTTTTTTTTTTCAGTAGGAGATATAACTTCAAGTTGGATTTTGTCACCGAACAACAATAACAACAATTAAGGAATCACTGGAAATGAAGAGGTGTTAAACAGCTCTGTTTCGTCCTAGTTTAGGAGTCTTCAGCGGTATGTGCCCATGCTCCTAGCTACGATTGACATTCACGGATAGATATTTATATTTTTCGCTGTGATTGATACTTTAAAGCATTTAATGAGGCTATAATTTTATAGTTATGCTCAATTATAATGAGCGCTCAACTGACAAATAGGCATGGTTACTCTGAAACGTTACATCAATAGGAATCTTTCTTAGTTTAAACATTTTTGAAAGAGTTCACAAAGTAAGCAGCTATTTACCAACTAAACACACGGTCCAGATTGGATTCTTCACCGATATACTCCTAAATCTCGCTTAACTTGCCAGCAGGTAGCTGGTCGGAGAAAAGTGGAAGGTTGGGTGGCATGAGGTTAGCAACTCCACCGCGTAATAATAACATCATCGCTATTGAAACTTCAAATACCTCCAGCCGGATGTTTTACTAGTAAGGCGAAGGAGTGAAATACAAAGGAAGAAGAGGCAGTTACTCTACATCTCAATATTTACTGGTAAGCTTGAGTAACAGAAATACTTTCATAACCAGGGCTAAAAATTATTGATAGTAACAAAAGTGGTCAGCTTAGTTTCGAGTGTGTACTTTAATTGCTTCTAGAGATTTTCATTCTCAGTCATTTAAATTCTCATCTGACTTGTGAAACAAACATCTAGGGTTCATGAATATTATAAACTTTAATTTTGCAGTAAGCATTTCCACATTTTTTCAGTCTTAAATCTTGTTGTTATTCCAAAATATCAAGTGGGATTAATGAACAGACATCAGAAACCGTAAAATGGACCACACTGCTAGTAGTAGTAAATCAGTGCTACAGTAGAGGTGTTAATAAAAAGGTCTCCCATACATCATGGTAAATTTGAGAGACACAAACAGAGTTTCAAATGGTGTGTGAGTCTTTTAGTGAGTAGTTATACGCATCCAGCTAGCGTAGCCTCATTCAGCAGCTGTATGGTGATGACGTATACGAAACGAACCAAAGAGTTTGAAGTGAAGACCTAAGTAAGAAATTTCTGTGTATCAGCTCGATTAGCCCAATTTCTGAACACTGTTTATCCGATTTGGAGTTTCCTGTCAACTGACATCATGTAACATTTGCAAGTATATTAAGACTGTTCTCTATATAAACTTAATTATTTCTTTAGGCTTCACGCTGATGATGAGAAACCGACGAAATAAACGATGATAGCATCTTATTCTGCACAAACCGTCATTCTGCGTAAAAAACTAAGAAGCTAAAAATCTGGCTGTACAAGAAACATAACCGTTTTTTATTTTGTTTGGTCGATGGTGGCTAGCAACGGATTCCAGAATGTGAGTTTCCTCTAACTTAGGGATCATCAGTTGGATGTATCTGCATCCCCAGTGAGTGATTGTGTCACCTGTAGGAATCGAAACTAGAACTCCTCAGTTTAAATGCCTGGTGGATATCTAACGACAAAGTTGTATCCCCCTAAGTCAGAAATAGGACGGCAAGCACGTCCTGGATTCCAATGTCAGCCGCTGTAAAACAAACATAGTCATGTTAACTGCAATGTACTGTCGAAACACTTGTACTAGCAACCTAGCATTCTGATACTGTAAAATTAACCAAAGAGAAATTTACAATGGTTATTTGAACAAACGTTAAATTTTAGGCTAGATTTCTTCTTAAGCTGACATTAGTTAGAGAACAATTGAAGATCATGGATCATGAGAAAGCTGAAGAGCCTCAAGTCATAGCGAAAAATGTGCCCAAAATAATCCGGTTTCCAGTGGTCATCTAACTTGTATGAGTCTGTGACAAAGTCTAACTTGAAATCAACTAAAACCCAACTAACATTTTAATCTTTCCCTATTTTGTTTTACCAAACTGAAACGATCAATTTTAGTTGAAATATAGACTGTTAAGACAAACATCTGAATAGCGCTTTTGATTTTAAATCAACTTTATTTGACATATGTTGACTAGGGTTGAATGTCAGGATAGGTATTCCGTCCTAGTTTTGAATCATCACAAGGATGTATCTTCATCTTAATGAATAGTGACGTTGCCTTTGAGACGGGAAAGAAGCTCACCTAAATTTCAACAGCTAGGATTTATATGCCGAGCTATTAAACTGTATGAATCATCTCTTTTACAATACACAGCAATAAAAGAGTTTCAATAAATATCTATTGGTTTTTGATGCCCATCGGAATTCAAATATATGCTGTTAAAAAAACCTGAATAGAAAGAAATGCGTCTCACGGATTATACCGCCCGGTACATTGTGTCAAATAATGTTAATAAAACACCAAAAGGTTAAAAATAAATCATATTGCATCTCTTATTTAAGCTATAAGTTCTAAACTTCCAGTAGCAACGGTGTTATTTTTATGTGGTGAGTTCGCTAGCATCACACTTAAACTTCTCTTTTCTAGATTTATTACCGGCTAGGAAACTAGGCTAGCTGTCAGAGTATGTCTGCCTTCAGTAGAACCTGGACTTTTCTCTTGTCTAGCTAACATGCTACCATTAAACCCGAGATGCACATTTTGATGCTTACACTATTGCACTGAGTGTTTGTAATATGGAAGTATGGCAATTGTTTTGCTGCACTTTGAAATTCTTCTGTTTGACTGTAATGACTGTCATTATTATGCCATAGTGTTTTTAAAAAAAATCGCTAAATGATTACATAAACAAAGTCAAAAATGTAAAACAAATCACAGTGGAAAGAAAAAGTCAATCTACTTTCATTTTGATTATAAAGGTGAAAACATTACAGCGATGATCAACAGAAGGCTGAGTACATCACTAGCTATAGCCTATCCTGCAGCTAACCTCGTTCCCATCTATCGAACAACTTGCTCTTTGGTGCAATCAAAAATCAGTAGATATCCTTCTTATTTTAACTCCAACTGTATATACAAATTTGCATGTATCTGCGGAAGCAGTTACATTGGAAGGACAGAAAGAATGGCATATCTACGATTTTCTGAACATGTACCAAAAAGCTTACATCTAAAAGGAACAAATTCTTTAAACAGTGCCATAGTCAGGCATCTCTTCGACACGGGTCATGAGGTGGAAATCAAGAAATCTTTTAAAATTATCAATAGACAAAGGAGCTCCATTCTCCTCAAGTTTGCCGAAGCAATTTCTATCAAACGCTTCAAACCAGATTTATATGTTCAGAAAGAAGCAGTTATTAGTCTTTCCTTTGCCCTTATAACTGGATGTCCTTATTCTCTACTCTGATTACGTAATCTTTGTCTTTAACCTCACCCCTCTTTTTTATTATCTGTAATATTGCTTGTCTCTTGTTTCTATGACGTGGTTTGAACTCAGTACATCGTTACTAAATTTATTGGCTACTCATCATCTTACTCACCTCTCGTCTTTATTACGTAACTCCTTTACCATTGTATGCATACATTTATTTTGACTTGAACTGCCTGTGTAAAAACTATATAAGCACAATTTTCTGAACACTTTTCACTAATTGTGGAACTTTCTGTCAACTGACAGCATGTAAAATTTGCAAGTATGTTAAAACTTTTCTGTACGTAAACCTCACAAGTTATTTAGGCTGTAAGCAGCTGATGAGAAGCCAACGAAATAAATCATACTACATATTTTAGCGAGTGCATACAATAATCCTTACATTCTCATTACTCTATTTGATTACTTCAACGATTACTTTGAACCTTTATTCCTTCAAGTGTCGCGCATGACTTCAAGAACAATCTTGGATTATTTTCAGCATTGCTGTATGTTTACATATTTATCCAAAAAGCTTAGACTAGGAAAACGCTGAGATTTTTATGTTTTCAAGGTTCAGATAAGTTTACATTGCTAACAGAAGCAAGAATGTAAGTTGGGTGCCGCTATATTAACCTTAATTATTTTTCTTCAGTTTCTAGAGTATCCAGTGGAACATGGGGTTGCTATCAGCTTTCCTCTTCTTTCTCAGGCTTACAGCCGGTTGATAGACTAAGTCGAAGTTTACGAGTAGGTCAGTCGGGAGTCACACACACATATTCTCTCTCTGTTTCCTTATCTCCTTCTCTCTCTTAAATGTATTTAGCAGTCACGAGGAATACAGATCGAAAAAACACAAATGTAATTACCTTGTTCAACTGAAGACCACTGGTGATTGTACTCGAACATGATCCAGTTAAATCTTTATTTAAATACAGACCAGTATTTTGAATTGTACAGTTGGTTGGATAAGTGTATCCGTGAAAATCATGTGAAAGATTCTGTACATTAATAGTGTTGTTATTACTACTAGTAGATTGTCTTGTCGGGGAATTATTCAGTGAATTTAGCGTGGAATGAAATAAATTAATATTATTGTTGTGAGAGTCATTTATTGTATTCATTTCAGTATTATCAGTAGTATGTACAGGTAGAAAGGCTTTTTGCAACTCATGATTTTCTTTTATAGAATCATGAAAATAGGAATGTGATGCAGAGTGACTTGATATTCCAAAAGATTTTAATGAATCATTTATTTTACAGAATATATCTGATAGTTTTAAATGTGTTCTTGTATTCCCTGGAGTTGATTGTTCTTCACCTGTTGTCTGAGTTTCATTCAAAGAGGAATTACCATGATCTGTTTTACGAATTTTATCCAGCGATGAAATAAATCCACCATCACAAATAATGGAGCATAAAATAGAATTGATTTGTTCTAGTTGAGCTACTCTCTGATGTAATTGATGACAGTTCATTAGAATATCCTAAAGATAAAAATATACAAGTGAGTAGATTTGTAAAGAATAAGCAATATAAATTTTGAATAACGTAATTATTTAAAAAAAAATTTGACTACTAGGAGGACTAGAGAATCAGTTGACTGGAATTTAAACTAACTTTTTCCAATTTATCTAAGTAGAAAACCAACTGAAACTTTACAGGCGGGTTGATTAAATCATCGGGCTACTTGAATTTCCATTTGTTTACTGTTTTAACCATCTAATTAATGCGATTTGATAGCTATATGAACTCCTACAAGAGCGGAGCACTTTTCAGTGTGAGAATGTGACAAAAATATTTTAGAAGACTGGATATAACTTCATATGGAACGACACAGCATCATACTATGTACCGCCAGAAACTGTTTAACTTAAAGATCCTTTACAAAGCGCAGATATTTTGCAAATTTAAATGTGCTGAAAATTCTGTAATATGTATTGAAGTAATATCCCGAATAAAGCCATTCTTATTTTTTTTAAAGTTATCAAGAAAATTCATCTTTATGTCAGCTAGGTATGGAAGTGTCATAAACAATGTGAACTTCAAATCAAAGGAGGCTAGCTAAGATCTTTTACAGTATTCTTAATGAATTTAAAACATTGTTGGGCTTCATATATGCGTCTTCATGTTTACAGGAAGCTCTGTGATTATTGCTGTTAAAACGCCAGTCAAGCAAACGAAGACTGCCATCTCAATTCATGACATGCGTACCCCAAAGCTCCGTTATACCATTTAATCATCACTTATTAATAGAAGTTTACTAATCTAAGGGTAGCCTAGAAAATCTAACCATGAATATATTTGAACCATGACAGTTGATTTGTATGATCATATAAGATCACCAATTTTTATCAGCAGATTTTCTACCTTTTACGGTGATTTTGTTCATGCAAACCTCCTGAAGGATTTTTGGCTTTTGTCATATCATGTTACACATAACGGCAATATTTAGATCTCTGAATTGCAAATCTAAGCGATGCGGGATGTAGCTGGCTGACGAGCATCAGTAAACACGAGACCTGGGCTCCGTATCGAATATTTTCGATCATCTAATTTTAGCGACAATGGCAAGCCATCAAGGCTACTGAATATATTGTAGACTTGAGTGGTACAGTTCGGTCAGCATATATTCATCACCTAAATGTTTGGTATTTTATACATAAAACAAATAAGAAGCAAGAAGTTCCTCAGATCCTTCACTATCAGTAGCCACAGGCTGAAGACAAAAAGGGAAGTCGTATGACCATATGTGTTGACATCTGATCAACAAATAGAATGAAATTACAATAAAGATTCATCCACAAACGAAGTGGATTACTCATACACAAGGGGCACTGAACAGCAGTGTCGTTATAACTTGGACTAGTGGAGTCCCTGTTATTGTGAACTGGTTACTGGAACTGGTTTGAAGCACCACTATGTCGAGCATTGACAGAGGCTAAAATTCACTGGTAACTTGGCGGTCAACGAGCACGCCTCGTAGCTTGAAGGTCATAGGTTCAATCCCCGGTATGGTCATGGATGTGTACTGCTGAAGTTATATACATATACATATATATGCTCTATATTAATAGTTGGCAACCTTATTCAATAAAACATGAGATATTTCAAGAACTTAGTGACTCATCTCCTCTAACTCGTCTTGATCATGCCTCAAATTAAAAACCATAATTGAATTAAGCTGGAAATTTGCAAGAACTCTGATTTGCATGGAATTTAAGACAATGTTGCATTGGTTAAAATGGGACCACGTTTTGTAGCTCAATTTTTAGAGCTCTAAAATGAAACTGCTGGGAGTTGCTGCCTAGATTTTTGTCCTCCCCTAAACGTTATCCCCTCAAAGGACAGTCTGAAAGTTACATTACAATCGAACCACAATGTAGTTAAAAAGAAAACACAACTTAAAATAGCATCTGATCAACGGATAAAGTAGTACTCAAGTGACTTACTTTCTGAGTAATATTCGTGTAAAGTAAAAGACTGGTAAGTTGTTCAATTGCATCTGAGTTCTTAGAATCACCATTTTGTGTTTCTGTTAAGTTCACATTAGCATTGATTTGAGAAGTGCATAAAAATTTCAAGAATTCTTTGAGGTATTCTTGTTCATTTAATGATGTTGTGAGAGGTAACACCTTGATTTTATTTTTTTATAAAAACAAATCAACAAAGAAGATAGTAAAGAGAACTATTAAAATACATTTTTAAAGCTTAACAGTGGTTGATTAATGCGTTGAAGTCATTTTCTGTTTCGTACTTATTGATTTTCCATTGCTGTCTATTGCTCTGTCTCTGTTTACACGTCGACTAGCTCCGACTACTTCTATAGTTCGACATAGAGTTATTTGGTTGATGGTGGCCGGCATTGCAGTACAGAATGGAGGTTTCGTCCCATTTGGGACCCTCCAACTAGACGCAACTGCATCTTCAGTCAGTGATTGCGTTCTCATTGTTTCAAACGTTGAAAGTTGGTTACAGGTTTCAGTGGAAATCAGACCAAGCACTACCGATTAACGTACTTTGAGCCAACTAGTTCCAGACAGAGAGAATTGCGTCTCCTGAATTCCACCGCTGACTGTATATCAGTAAAATAACTTCGTGTTTACCAGTTGATGGCTGACAATAGATTGATGTGTGGGTAGGATTTCTGTCCCATAATGAAATATAATTTCATATAACATACATTTATCTCGCGATCAGGTTCCAGTGGCTGAATATTGTACGAGTCTGCCTTGAAAATGGAAGGTTCTGGGTTGAAATTCTGCTGGATGCATGCCGATGAAGTGTCCTAAACCGGGACAAAACATATGTCTGGTACTCCCTGCTGGCTTTCCAGTGGTTCTCTAACTTATGTCAGCTCATGATCGAACTTTTCACCAATCAAATCTCTTCAGGCTAACACTTGATAAGTTTATCTGACACAACACACAGTGATGAGACAGCATAAATAACTGAATGATTTTTCGATTAGGACTAATTGCTTTTAATCCTGCTTAAGAAAAGTCAGCTAGATGTTTGTGCATCACTGCCTGAAGTCACTTCCACTGAGATTGAAGCCTAACATCAACCTTCTTTTAACTCTTTATTTATTTATTTTATTTTGATTTACAGCTTGATTCCAGTACAAGCGTCGAATTTTCAGCATGGATATCGGTAGCCCAAATTCAGGCCGACCATAGATATCGGGTGTGCGCCGGCAGGGGATCGAACCCCGTACCATGTGCATAGTCGCCGAGAGTCCTAACTACTGTGCCACTGACGCACAAGTGACTCAAAATACCCATGAAATGCTGGTCCTGAGCTCCACTGTTAGCCAACCTCCCAGGGTAGATATGATCTAAGGCTATTGATTATGAGACGTCTATCGACGTCAAATATACATTATGACCACTAGTTTACCTTACATTAAACTAATCTACGATTTCAAATATCAAACTGTTTAAAGCACAATCAAGAATGGCAATCATTACCCTGGAAAAAAAGATATCAAATAATCTGTTTGGAAATTCCATTCTGTGTCTATTTTCTCTCAGTATTTTTAGAATAATACACAACGTGAAATATTATTGCGATTATTTCTCAGACTATGAAGCAGCAAGTGAAATCGTGGACAAATGTATTTACACCATATACTGGAGGAGAATAATAGGGAGAAGGTTTGACACTGATAAATATATAACGTCGCAATTCAGGTTAGCGAAACAGGCATGTACACAAATGTAGATATATATTTGCATCAGACAAGTCACCCACTTTTGCGTTTTTATATGCTATCGTCTTTTTCTTGAAAAGGTGCATATCTTACTTGTCAATATGATTAATGAAATAAATCCTAATAATCTCATTTTTCTGCATTTCTTTTTCAGTTCACTTTATTTGTACGTATGTGTGTGACTGTGTGTACATGTGGACTTGCCACAGTCTTCTTTCATTTAGGCATACACTTAACTATTCCACACGACCGATCTATGTTGTAAAACATTTTAATTAAGTCATAAAAAACTTAATTCATGTAGTGAATATGATGAGAGAAAAGGAGCTGTCTGCAATTCGTAGATTTACGGACCAGTATATAACTTCTATTGATACACTTCTTTTCCTATAATAATGCTTCATGTGAGATACACAAATCACAATGAACTGTTAGTTTAAGTTAATTTTTCTTTCCCGCAGGAAGATTAGGCATATTAGACCGAAACCCTCAGTTAGATCCATGTATGGAGTGAATGAAGTTTAAGATGATGTTAATTGTTTGGTGGTGGTGGATGACACTGGAATCCACGAGACCGGTTCTGTTCTATTTGTGACTTGTAACTGGATGTCCTGCGTCCATATTAAGTGATACTGTCCCCAGTGAGACTGAAACCTAGAAGCCATTGTTTCTGACAGTAAAGCAGATGCATCCACCGGATAACTCCGGGATAGAATGAAGCATGTATCAAAGATTGTATTGCTAACTGCCGTCGACAGAATAACACAGTGGGCTATAACTACTACTATGACTGTATGCTTCCCATTCATTTCAGTAAACTAGTATGTATTTGTAGCTAAAGTTAATGGTTTTGTCAAACAAGTGTTTTCGGTGAAACATGTTGTAACTGAGAAACTTACATTAACCTTCCCCATAACATCGTCAGAGTAAAACCCACTTGAATACTTAAAGTTTATTTTAAGTTTGATCACAGATCGATATCAGTTAGAGAACCACTGGATTTCAGCATGGAGTAGTGGACATCTGTTTCATTCTAGTTTAGGACTTATAGGAGTTCGGATCCGGGGCCTCACGGTTACAAGGCAGGCTCGTCGACCGTCTAGCCACTTGAAGAAGACTCAATGGACACGCAGTGAGTTATAACTCCAATCTATTCGCGATTTCAATGAGACCACCAGCCACTGTCATCGTTGAGTATTTGTCCTCACTCCCGACTGAGTGGACCCCACTGGTCATGACTTCTCACTAGAACTCCAGGCAACTTCGTCTTGTAACCAGTCAATAGTGAGCATCGAAACCCGGTGGACGCGTGCTGAAGATGAGTCCCAAAGTAAGACGAAACCGCCGTCTAGTACTCTCTTGTGGTTTCCAATGGTTCCCTAACTGATATCAATCCGTGATCGAATTTCACACAAATCAAATCCCTCCAAATAATACACCCAACTCATCGCTCCTTATTAGGTTTCTGCTCGACAGCCCTGCATGAGACACCATTCGATAGTTTACTCAAAACATTATATTAGTTTGATAGCAGTTATACATCTATTAATTTGTTTATTATAACCTCATACGTTTTTGTCCACTACATACGATAGCTCGAAGCATTGTTTTCAAACCTAGTACTTCCATAAATGCATGAATAAATCCCAGTTTAGACTTCACAAGTATAATTTATTTTGTTGGACTTGTTATTTTCTGCCCAAACTAGAATAATTTTCTCCCCCTCCGCGAGAAGTCGTACACTGAAGCATGTGTGATCGAAGTTTAAGTCTGCAGATATAACTTTTCGTGACGTCATCAGAAGATTTTAGTGAGGATTCAGCAGGCAGGAAACTGTGAAACTCTGAAAGTTGTTCTCTCATTTCAGGTTAAGTAGCGAGCTGAAATCATTTAGATACCCACTGGAAACTAAGGTGTACTGGAAAACTCTGGTTTCAGACGCTTCAGAAACATGCATTCATGACCCCACTTGAGATTGAACTCAGGACCTTCATGTTAAAAGGAAAACCCGTTGACCATTCAGCCAGTGGGAAGGAATTCACTGACGCATGAATTCTAATTTCTGTCAATTCTTGGCCAACATTACAGCTTGAATCGTTAGTGTTACACTCAAGAGTCTTAATACTATTCATGAAAATGAAGAGTAGCAATTTCTGTAAACATACAGGAACGAAAACAAATTGATTGATCGGCAGAAATAAAAACAAGATGAAACACCAACAACTTACTCGTTCTTCAAGTTCTTTATAACGTTGCTGAAGAACTGAATTTTCATGTTCCAAGTTTGTCACTCTTTCCAAACACTCTTGCTTTACCTGAAGTATTCAACGAAAAGTGTGATAATATATATGTATATGTATGTATGAGAAGCTACTTGCTAGTAAGTGTCTATGATGTTTAAAATTTTTCAGGGAGAATTGTCTGCCATCAAGGTATTCAGTCACAGATAATATCTTGGAGATGAAATAGGTGCATGAAGTCAAAGTCCTTTTTAAGCTAAACTTAGGCTGCTTCAGGCTATATTAAATTTTGTGTGGGGATACAGCTCATAAGGTAGAGCGCTTGCTTTGCATGCTGGAAGTCCCAGGTTCAATTCCCTGTCTCTCCATCCACATCGGGGTGTGATTTAATGGGAATCTTCCTTGCCAACAACATGCAAGGTTCGTGAGTGATTCCTGACTGAAAAAAACGCTTAAGCCTTACATTGTTTACTAGCCGAGATGTGAAAGGAACATTTGATTTGAGGCTTGACGTCTATGTAATAGAAACATATCCACTGTCACTTTGAATATCTAAGCCCTATGCTCCAGTTAGGATGCAATGACATGAAAAAATCCTATTTTAACTGTGAAAAATTTGCGCTTTTTTCAGTGTCCCGTTTCATTGTGTAAATAATGAACAACTTCCTTTTGTCATTCCTTCTTGAGAATATTCAATTGAAAAAACCCTCGATATTTATCAGTGATATTGAATATAGTCATATTAATACAAAATTCCAGAATGCATATCACGTAGAACTATATCTAAAGACAGTTCTCAAAAAAAGGTTTCCTGTAGTGTTCCTGTCTGTAACACAGAATAGGCATCTTCGACGACTACAATACACCAGTTATTTTCTATGAATCTTGACAACATGTGTGTAGTGAAACTTTGATTACAACGGAGATATTTCCTATTGAACATGTATTGATGATTTTTAAGGGATAATTTCTGACAGTTTAATTCACCCTGCCAATAATCGGTAACACGTCACATAATTAGTAGTAATATCAATTTTAACAGAAGCATTTCTATTACCCTGAGGTTTCTACTCGTAAAGCCGTGTTCCTTTTCGGCAGTAGTGGATGGTAAGTAATTGGATAATACTTAAATCTATAAGATAATTATACTCTGTGTATAGATGTTAATTAAATTATAGTTTTAAACGTCTGTTAGGGAGCCTTCTAGATTCTGATACTCATACTAAGTAGTTGACTGACTGACTGAATTTTCACCGTAGAACTTTGCACAAAGTTGCAACACTTCGAGTTGCTCTTAATCCATGAAACCATTCGAAAAAGGAACTGAAGAAAGCAGAAGAACTTTATCGAAGAGAGATGCACAGGAGAAGGAATAAGTATATGAAGAATTATGAGAACTTGACTATTGGTTTGATTCCTTGTTGCTTATCCTTACTGGACAGTTAACTGATATCAAATATCGATTGAAAGTTTGCAGTAGGCTGTTGGAAATGCTCTCATTAACACATGAGTCAAATATCCGAGCCACTTGGAACCACACAACTGGCATTACTTTTTGAGAATGCAGATCTTGTTCCTCCTTTTGACTGCTGTACATCTGCAGACTGATCGCAGAGTAATGACTGGCTATCTTACTTTCCCGATCCTGTCTGGCTGTTTATATTTAAAGGAATGGTTCTCAGGTCAGGCAGGTGAAAGAGATCACTTCCTTCAGACTTCCCTTATTTATGGTGGTTGGTGTTTGATGCTATTGTTTAGGCATCTTCATCACCTCCATCTTCTCCATATTCACCTGAAGTCCTGTCTTGGTTGCCTCCTTCCCTGTATTACTGGTTTCCCCCTTTGAATCTTTCAGCTTACTGTAGTTCAGGATAAAGATGGAAATTGTCTGACATTCTGAAAACTTTGAAAATTGATTCTGAAGTTTTCAGTCCCTTCATGAATGAGCTATTTTGTCTCTAGTATCTACGATATTGTAATCTAGTTACAAAAGTGGATGTCAGTGACCCAGTTTTTTTTATTCCTTCACGTTCCCAGTGGAACATAGGGCTTCAAGGTACAGGCTTGAAGTTTCTTTAGAAGTGTTTATTTTTACAGGATGGGGTTGCTAGCCTCATGCCCAACCTTCCCTTTTCACCAGCATTATTTCTGGCTTAGCTAGTTAAAGGAGTGCGTCGGCCGGGGATCGAACCCCGGACCTTGTGACCCAGTAGCCTAGCAAATTAGGCTTCAGCATTGAAATGACAGATACAGGTTTTCAGTCTCAGTGGGAACACCATCACGCGCTTAGTACGAGAGCACATCCCAGTGAGAAGTCCTGAATTGAATGATGAAAGGTGTATTTCTGGATCTCACTTCCAGCCACTATTAGCTGAGTTACATCACGTTAACCATCACACATTGTCAAAGTTTCCGTACTGGGAGGCACAGTATGTCGACGGAGAGTGAATATTTCGTTCCAATAAAAGTCAATCAACAGCTAAAATTTAGATTTAGTCATGCAATTAAATCTCAGCTGGTGTAATATCTTCTTCTTCTATACGGATCAGAAACTAAGAGGGTCACAAAGAATATTTCCAATAGGTTGCAGACCTTTATCAACAACTGTCTTCGCTGGCTCTATACTCAAGATCAGATGGCCAGACGGAATCACCGACAAGAAACAATGGGAACAAACAAAACAAGAACCAATCGCTCAACAAATATGCAGGAGAAAGTGGAGATGGATTGGACACTCGCTGAGGAGGCCGCTGAGTGACATCGCTTGTCAGGCCAGTGCTCTAGTGGAACTCGAAAGGGAAGTGGCGAGTTGGTCGTCAGTGCAAAAGCGACATGGAGGAGATCGTGTGAAGAGGAGCTGAAACAGTATGGACTAACATGGATGCAGGGGAAAAGTACGGCAGAAGACAGAAGCAAGTTGAGGTGTGCAGTTGAAGCCCTTTGTTTCACTAGGAACCCAAGGAAACAGTAATAATAATATCTTCTTTTTATATGTTTGGAGTATTCACATGTTTATCAATTTTCTCAGGGAGTTTATAATTCCTGTTAATTCAACATAATTGATACATAAAGTCACGTCTAATAAATGAACAATTTCGTATTAGTTATTACTCTAACTAAATGATCCGATCACTTGTAAAATAATAACAGGTGACATCAGCTAGCATGCCAGGGAATATTGGACAGCTGCTTTATTTTAATTTGCGACGCTTCATCAGTAGGCTTTCATAACCCTTCTGGGGATCATACTCAGGCCTTTCAAGTTACAAGGTTAGCTCTTTGATCATTAAGCCTCAGGGACTGAATTTGACAGATTATGGATTCTAACTTCTGCCAGTTTACGGTGCATGGCATCACCAGCAGACAATATAATCTATCAGTATTCGTCCTCACAATCGACTTGTAGTTGTTGTAGTCAGTCATTAGGGAGTGTTACACTTACTTTCACTTGATTGGTCATGTGTAAGGCACGTGCTGATAGGGCGTCCCAAATTGGAGTAAAATAGCTGCCTAGTAATCTGTAGTTTCCAAAGGTTTTCTAAATGAGGTCACTTAATGATCTTACTTGCAATCAGTCAAATCACTGTAAACCAACACTGTGAAATTGCAAATAAATAATTTTTCTGAGCTAACGTTGTTAATGAATTCACTTCAATTAACTTTAGAGCTTATAGCTATCATTGTGACAAATAAAATTTGTGAAGAAAAGCACAAAAAACGGAAGTTTTGTTTTAAAATAGGAAAAACAGATGTAGGGAGTTGATTGATTCGTGATGGGATTTCATCATGAGCTGACATTAGTTAGAGAACCATTGGAAAAGCAACTGGGAGTACTGGACAGCTGTTTCGTCCTAGTTTGGGGCTCTTCACAGTATGCACTCACCGGGGTTTGAACCCATGACCTTATGGTAACAAAGCGCGTATCGTAGATCACCAAACCACTGGGACCCGATCCAATGGCCCAGGAATCCAAACTTCTGCTAACTAACGCATAGTGCAACTACTAACCAATGTCTTCGGCGAGTATTTATCTTCACACCCGACCTGCTGTACCGTACTGGCCACGTTTCCCCACTAGAACTCGAGGTAACTAATAACCTGAATAGGTACAGTCGGTAGGGACCATCTCAGTAATATTCAAGTATTGGTTTGTAGGGATTTGGTTGACTGGTTACAGGATTTCATTTCTTTCCTTCCTCCTTGAGAAATGCAGTCACGCCTTACTGACGAGTTCTGACAAGCACGTAACCTCTGTTGAAGACTTCCTACCGATAGCTTTCAACCATCTAACAGCAACCATTCAGAGTGTACTGTAATGGCGAGCTACCTTGCATAGTAGTGACATTGAGAGGACTTGACCGACGGAATTCAGTCTGCATCAAATGAATGAGTAGACTTGTGAACGCTCGCCGGCCATGCACATGGTCCGGGGTTTGATCCCCGGCCAACGCACTCCTTTACCTGGCTAAGCCAGAAATAATGCTGGTGAAGAGGAAAGGTTGGGTATGAGGCTAGCAACCCCATCATGTAAAAATAAACACTGCTACAGAAACTTCAAGCCACTAGCTTGAAGCCCTATGCTCCACTGAGGAACGTGAAGGGAAAAAAACTGTTTAATCCAAGTGCTTCTAAGTTATATTATGTAAATATACCTTAAGGCTATTTAGACTAAGTGAATCAATCATTAGATTACTGATGGAGTGAATAACGTAATAATAAATTAGCCTTACTTGTTTAATTATGTCATTGAATCTACCCCATGATTGGTTGAATTCAGCATAATTTCGTTGAATTTTTTCATTGGTAGTTCTGTAATTTAATAAAAATAAATAGGGAGAAAGTTAGTCTTGCATTAGAAAGTAAGTAAATACTATTGTTTACCTTTCATAACAATTTGTAAACAAATAGTAGATTTTACCAGTTAGAAAATCACTGAAAAAAAATCAAAGGGTAATGAACATCCATATCCTCTTATTCTGTGATTCTTCATCAGTACTTACCCATTGTCCCACCGGGGTTCGAACCTAGGACCTCTAAGTTATTAGGTTAGCGCGTCTCCATCTAGCCACTAGACTTATCAGTTCTGATATGTGTCGATTTGTGAAATGGTTTTATTGCCAATAGAAGCGACTGATTGTGTGCATCCATCAGTCCTACTTTCTGGAGTCTTGTTTGGAGAGTCAGATTCCTATCAGTTTCTGAATGCTTACAGGTGAGAAATCTAACTGTGAGGTTACTGTAACAGCTTACTGTCAACCTGTTGTAATCTTCAAGACAATAATAATAAGTGGTCAGATCAGTATAAAAACAAAACTGTCACTATATGTACAAAAAGCACTTTACAGAATTGTGACGAAAAATTCTTTTGGAAACCGGACTGAAGTTAAGACTATATCAAGACTATATCTTTTGTCTGATGGACGTTTATAATAACTACACAACCCGAAGTATTCGATACTTATTTACCAAATATTTCTAAATGCATTTAGGTAAATGCCATACCACTGAATATTAAATTATTATCATTGAGTTCAGAGAGGAAAGCAGGACTACAGTGTCACATAAACATTCCACTGCACAACTGCCCACAAACATTCATTTCCTCAACAAAGAATCTTCACCATTTCATGCTCATACCCACGACGAAATCGCAGCTTGTCATTTTGACTCCATTAAACGGCTTGTCTGACGTGTGATACATCGTGAGTGTCTTTTCATTTAATATCGAATTCATCTCTAATCCTTTCTTTTTGCTTTTCAAGTAATAGTCTGATCCGCCTAGTGTCAAGTCAGTCATTGCTGTCGTATAGCTCAGAGACTTGTCCTGCGTGCCTCACCAAAACATTTGCGACAGCCTGTGGCATATTTTCATCAATATCTCTTCCCTTAGCTAGGTAATGAAGGACAGATAGTCGTGCAGAAAGAGTAAGCAAACAGCAAGGAAGTTTGCAGGTACAGCTAACCAGTAAACCATCCTATTGTTCAACGAACATGAGGAAGGGAATGAAAATGGATATAATATAAACTGAAGAGACTAACTAACTGACTAACTGACTAGTCCATAGAATCCTTGCCCAATAATGTCTGAGTTAATTTGTTTGTAGAATAGTTCAGTTAAATCTCGATCAAAGATCTAAACTATTTAAACTGTATCTAGTTGACAGTTTTTATGTATTAACTTCTTTAGGGTTTCTTTGTTAACAGACAATAATTACCTTGATTCCATCCTTGTTTGTTTAAATTTGTAAACATCAAACCTTAACTGAGGTGACTGGCTGAATTCAGCATAGAACTTGGCACCGAAGTGCAGCAGTTCCAGTTGCCACGTTCCAAATAGCACACAAAGGTGGACAAGAAAATGATTGAAGAGAATCAATAGAGTTTTGACAGATATAAGAGTGAAACAGAATGAGTAATGGTAGAAAGGAATATGGAATATTACAGAGACTGAATACATCTGCGTAAGCCATTGACAACGATTTTGAGCCATGTCACCTATTGTCTCCAGCCATTGATTCTTAGAGTCCCGAGGGTGGGCCCCAACCCGGAAGTCTGCATCTCCCTACCTGACTCAGTTTAACTGTCAAGGATTTCATGGATTGATGCCATGTTTTTGTTTCGCCACCGCTTACTTCTTTTCCAACCTGCACCTATATCAGCTAGTAATGCCCGTTGGGGGAGGCGATGGTTAGGCATGCGCAGCACGTCACCTAGCCATCTCAATCTATGTAACTTTACAGCCTCTTCGATTGATTTTCCCTCTTTGCCCAAAACTCTACGCCTAACGTCAACATTACTTACCTTATTATACCACTTAACGTGAGAAAGAGATCGTAGACACCTATGATCAAAAAGAGTCAACCTCTTCATGTCTTCAACTCGTATTGGCCATGTTTCAGAGCCATAGAGAAGGACGGAGCGAACTGGTGAGCAGTACACAGGTCCCTTGGTTGATAGCCGGATGACACGCCTACGCCAGAGATGGTGTAAGTTAGCGAAAGCAGCTCGAGCTTTTTGGATCCGTGCTGAGATTTCGTCACTAATCAATCAATCCGTTGGTGCTGATACTACTTCCCAAATAGGTGAAGTGGTCAACATGTTCTATCACTTCACTCCCTATCACTAAGCTAGGAGTTGACGTAGTCCAGTCCTGTAGCAGCATCTTACATTTTACAGGGGCGAATCGCATGGCAAACATACGAAGATTGCTGCTCAAGGTGTTCAGAAGACTCTGCTCTATTTTGTCAGCATCCTCCTCTAACAGGACTATATCATCTGCATATTCTAAGTCCATAAGACTATTCCCTGGTAACAAGTCGATTCCTAAGTCGTTAAGTTCAGTTAAGGATACTTCCATTAGCATATCCTTAACTGAGGTAACGATTAAAAAGCCATTCATGAAATCACACTGAACCAATGAGTGTGTTACATTAAGATAAACACATTAAATTTGACATAATATGGCTCCTCCATAGGAACCAAATTATTCACCCCATACAAATGCCCTATTTTCATCTTGACTGCCATGTTTCAAGGTTCAGTTCACCTCGTTATCACTTGAAGGGTAAGAGAATTTGTTGACTGATTAGAAACGAATAAAAATTGATAGGATATATATACTTTTGATTTTTACGTCACAGTTGCACTTTTATTAAGACTTCATAATCTTTTATAAATCTTCTTTTTTTCTGTCAACTTTTCTGGCTTCATGTAAAGGTATACTTTGTTTATTTTTTATTTCTTCAGTATTATTATCATTATCAAAAGCGGCAGTTTTCAATGTCATACATTGGAATATCCTCTTCATGGTGATAAGCCACAGTATCAACAGAATGAAAGTGTCCATCAAAATTGACTGACATGACAGCGGTTATCGACGTGTACTTATGATAAACAGGTCAAAAAGGCGAAGATTATAAGGACATAAGTACATTGATAAAAAGAAGACATCCTGTGGGAGATTTATAATCTTTTTTTTTGAAAAGGCAAGTTTATTTCCTTGTCGTTTATTATTTAACAGAAAACTGATTAGATAATACAACTTATTTTTAAATTATCTCTCTCAAAATTTTCAGTTTTTTGTTGTACTGCTGATATTCATACAAATACAGAGAGACATAGAGAATTGACTGGACTTATCTAATGTTTGTCCAGTTTGTAGCGTCATCATAACACTTGGTTTTGTATGAAACGATTATGTATTACTATTTATCTCTGCTATTTCGACTGGAATGTAGAGAGAGTTTCAATAGTACATCTCCGCACCACTCTGTCCACTTCGATGTTTTCAAGTTGGTTCTATGACTGCCCATTATCTCACATTTCCACTATACATGGTCTCCTCTATTTCACCCTCTGACGCATAAGTTGTTGTTGCCATCCATTCGAGTCCTCTTCGACATCATGCTTGTCGTGTGATTTTATTTGGACATTTTCTCATCTTATATCCCATCCAACTCCATTTGGTGGGTGATAGGTTCTACGTCTGAGTTCCTTATTTTTTTTGATTATCTATTCTTGTAGGCCATTTTGATCTATAATTCGGATTTCCCCCTTGTGCTAAGTGCTGTAATATGGATCTTTACACTCTCTTCAGAGTAATGATTGCCTCTCTTACTTTCCCATTTCTGCCTGGCTTCGAAATCCTTATTGGTGCCTGTACAGGTGAGTGAAAGAGATCGCGTCATTTAATTTTTCGCCTATGGATGATAATGATGATGATTAGAGCTTGACTCTTTCATCTGAGCAGAGGCTGGTTGCCTGTTTTGCCATCTTGTTGTATTCTGCTTGCAAGTGTTTGACTCTATTAGACAAGAGACAGAAATCATCTGTGATGTCAGGATATTCTAAGGTCTTTTATTCAGTCCAATATATTTCTATATTCTCGCTCTTCATTATCTGTCCTATGATATCCAGTTAACTATAACCAGGGAGATCATTGGTGGCAGTAGGCAGCTCTCATGAATAAAAAACTCAAGAGTAATATTTTTAACTATTTCAGCTAGTTTGTCATTCGCTCTTCTTGAAAAGCTAATCTGTTAAATGATAGAAAATAATCAACAAACAGCCTCAGTACCAAATATTAATAATAATAATCCTGCTAGTGGACACGATCAAAAGTCAACAAGAACCCCTTATATTGTTACCTCCAGTCGTTTAAATCAATTCACATGTATGTGAGGAAGTGGTTCCTTTAGAAAAAACCGAAAGAACAGCCTAAATCAAATTCTTTGAACATGTACGAAATGGCTTTCGATGCAGTCGGTTGAATGATTTAATTTTCTCGGTCACAGGACACCAAGTAGACCCGTTGTGAGCATTCAGTATATTTAAACTGTTACACTACAATGAATTTTCAATCTCTAGTTTTGTTAATCACTATGTTTCATTACAGATTATGTTATCATCTTTTCACTAGACTTCTTAAACACGATTTTTCGGTTGTTTTTCTCCAATCTCTTGAGTTTTTTCATGATCAGCTGACATTAGTTGGAGAATCATTGGAAAAGCAACTGGGAGTACTGGACAGCTGTTTCGTCCTAGTTTGGGACTCTTCAGTAGCACGTATCCACCGGGATTCGAACCCAGGACCTTTTGGTTACAAGGCGAGCTCGTATACCATTAAGCCACTGGGACCCGATCCAATGGCCCATGAATTCTAACTTCTGCCGATCCAATGGTTCTATAACTAACTTCAGCTCATGATGAAAATCCTGTAACCAATCAAATTCTTACAAACCAACACTCTTGAGTTTTACTCTTGAGTTTTGTCCACTGTATTTTTAAGTGTTTGATTGAGCGACTGTTGC